GATTCACAAGATATATTCTGTAACAATTCAAGCCTTTTAAAATTGTTTTCCTAGGAAAGGGCAGTAAGCATACGACCTGTTCCCCTGCATGAATATATTTTGATTTAAAACTGGTATGACACTCATTAAAATAACTGCAAGAATTACACACAATTAGTGAGCTAGTTTTGCCTAAGGAGAAGATACTGACTCTTCACCACTTGGCACACTATTTGAAACCTCAAACTTATGCAGTTTTTTAAAGGTAGTAGACTATATATAGTGACAAATTGAATATGTAGACATTACCAGTCAGTAGAAGGAGAACTGTATCCTTTAATACCCCAAGGGCCAATGACAAACCAAAGCTGAAAGATATGGTGGGAAATACGGATTTCCTAAGAGCAACTGATTGCAGGAAAATAACAGATGGTCTACGGACAATAAAGACTCTAAGTGAATATACCCGTTTCAGCTTGACATACAAGGCATGTATGTTGAAATGACAAGAAGCGTATTGGAAAGCTCATTAATCACTGTCAGCAACAAAATAACACATGGAGAGGCACAGAATGTTCCAGGGAAGCCAAAAGTAGACAGATTCATTTCTAACAACTGGATAACAATTAAGTGGATCAGATCCTTGATGCAGTTGTTTCCAATAATGTTTAAAAACTATGGGTTTACATTATGGTTAAATGGCACACATTTTTCATTTGTGTTTCTGTTCACATATTAATTGAGTATGGAAATAGTAAGCAGATATTTTGCATAAAACAATGCAGTCTATTTAAATCTAACTTGGAATTTAATTCTGATTGCAAGAAATGTACCAGATATGAAATCAGTATACAGATTATAGCAGACTGGTTAAATGCAATGGTCTACAGACCATTGGGCGCCTGCCTTTGGGTGACCTTAGATCACCTCAGCCAAGTTACTTAATATTTCCATGCCTCAGTTTCCTCATCTGTTAAACAGAAGGTATTAACAACACCTATCCTTCATAGGTTGTCATGAGAATTAAACTGGTTGCAATTTAATAAAAAGCTTAGACTAGTGCCTAACATGTCATAGGTGCTATGTAAGTGTTAAATAAATGAATAAGAAGACTCTTCAAGCCATCTGATTCCCAGCCCTGGAGTTAAAGTGTTATCAGAATCTCTGATGCTACGACAGTGGATACAGGTTGAAAAACCCTGGTTATTCTAATAGTTCTTGTTCTACGCTGCCCTCCTCCCCACCAGATAAACTAAATTACCTCTTAGTTTCTTTCTAGTTAAAAGGAAAAAGAATAATAATTACTTGATTGGAGACAGAGTTTTAAAAAATGATTCCCCTTTCTGCCATTTTGTTTAAAGAAATGAGCCTTTTTCTTCAACTTTATGAAATTAAGGTTGATGAGAAGCTCTCAGTCATCCTCCCAGCAGATAACAGGCCCCATCAAATCATTCAATCATCCTTATTTCAGCCCTCAAAGTACAAGTTTAATAGGTGTTGACTGAGTGAAGAATTCCTTCTAAGAAATCAATCACTGTTTCCATCTCCACGAAGGCAATCCTTAAGTTCAAACTAATATGTATTTCAACAACTAATCTAAGGCTCTGAACCTTCCCTAGTGCCATCATAGCTACTGGTTCTTTAAAGAGACTTAAGCACTGAAATGGAATTGACTTTTGGACCACAGAGCAATGGAGGAAAACATAAAGATATCCAGGAACAGGGGAACGAAGAGATGCCCAGAATCTCCACTAAGTCTGTTAAAGAAATGTTCAACAATGGATTTAGTAGATACCATGAACATCACAAACAGAAAATGCCAGGATCTGTTAACAATCTTGAATATATAAGCAGAAGGTTGGTGATGAGTCAGAGTTACTTTGGAATGTCCTAGGGAAACTATTTCAGGGCTTTGGGCTACAAACAAACATTTTAGGGAATAAAGTTATAGCATCTCCCAGAGCAGTCACATTCAAGAGTGCTCTGGCTCCATGTGGCACAATTTCCACCTGCCAGGGATGTATAATTCCATGTGGGAAAGGTTGTATGCATGTACTTAAATGCTTCTAGAATTTTCTATGCAACAGTTTATCCTGTATCCTTACTTCCTGGATCACTTAAGATCTAAACGCTGCAAAAGAATACATATAGGCTCATTTAGAAAATCATCAATTAAATGTCTCTCCCTTTGAAATATGTACTTCAAAATTTTTTAAAATCGCACCACATAAGGATAACAATTTGAAATATGTGGTAAGATGTCAATGAGAAACAAAAATGATTTGCTACTTTGATTATGAAAGGTGGCAGTGCAAGTAACTTAAAAAGGCAAATCTAATGCTCTTTCCAATTAGACGTGAGTTTGTACCACTGGCTTAGGGTAAGAAGTCCAGAGCTCAGAAAGTCGATTTTCTTTCAGAGTGGGACCTTTGCACCTGGGGTAACTGCCACCATGTAAATGGGGCTATCTTTGGGTGGCTTAGTATCAATATCAAACTTGGCTCTGGTTTTCTGCTACTTAACAATTCATTAGCCTCGTTAAAACAATGATCAAAGACAAAATTTTTAGAACTGAAAATAATGCTATTTTTAATGGCTTAAAAATTCTGCCCAAGTATTTGTTTTCTTTATAGAGAGATCTGTCTTGTCTCAACAAGACACTCGACACCAGAGGCCCTGCTTCTGGTTCTAGGATTCAGTAGGTGCTCACGTCAGGAACGGCCCCAACTGCTTGCCTCCCAGCCGTCTGAACCAGAAAAAAACCACCCTTCTAACCTGGGTCATCCTTTGAGTGAAGTTCAGAGAGCTCTCCATCTAGTTCTGCCTCTTTCTGCATCATGGCAACAAGACAGTTTTTACAAAACGGAAGCCACACGGTGCTGGATGTGCCTGCAGCATGGTTTGCCCTTTGGTCCTCATAGTGGTTCTGTATCTGCATTTTTTTTTTTAAAGTACAAACTTCCAGTTATAGTAAGTCCTGGTGATGTAAAGTACAGCATGGTGACTGTAGTTAACAATACTGTACTACGTATTTGAAGTTGCTAAGAGAGTACGGCATAAAAGTTCTCATCACCAGGAAAAAAATCATAACTATGTGTGGTGATGATGTTAATTAAACTTGTTGCAATCACTCTGCAATATATACATATATTGAATCATTATGCTGTACACCTAAAACTAATACAATGTTATGTCAATTGTATCTCAATAAAAACTAAATTTTAAAAAAGGGTTCTTTTCCTCTATCCTCACCCCACCCACTTTATTTAAGGAGAACAACTTTTACTTCTTTCACATAAAAGCAAATTAGTCAATCAAACAAAAACAAACCAAGCTTATACAATTTAAAACCATCCTTACATGAGCTAAGCCAATCTTTTTTAACCAACACTCCATCACCCAAAACCACATGACTTATAAACTCAGAAACTCATGTTTCCTATACCCCTTTCCAACTCAGGTACAACCAGATAATTCTGGCAGAAAACATCATATGTAGAGTTAATTTTAAATTTTTAATTCAAATCTATTTCCTATTACTCCTTTTTTTCTTTTAGGGTTAGACTAAGAGGTTTCCAGAATAATTACCCTATGATAACTTAGTGTCTATTGCCTCAAAGTGTAAACAAAATTTAAAATATTTATTAAACATACATTTTATAACATACTGGATAAGCAAGTTTTTAAAAACTTGATATTCCCTCTACATAGACCAAATATATTTATAGATTTATACAGTTATATATTAACAGGAAATTATCTTTAGTTATACTAGAATGTTACTAGTTGAAGTATATACTAACATACTAATGTTGAAATCTAAGATATATTTTAGTCTTTCTTTGCTAGTCTCCTTGTATATGATAAGGTTTGATCTGGAGGGCATTTAACTATTTTATTCACAGATTTTAAAGATGATAGTAATGGTTTATAAATAAGGAACTACTTAAAGCATATTCTCTTCTGGGCTAGAAAAATAGTATCAGTCTCATCAGATCTTTGGTTTTGAAAGTTAAAAACAAGTACCATTTCTTTACAATGGCTGCACTGAAAAATTACTAAAATCAGAAGCTGATATAGAAATATTTGGGCACATAAGTAGACCAAACCTAGTCCCACCAGCACCCTCTCAGATTATAAGAAATTACTAAAACTGAATGTTTTAGTAAAACATAAAAATACTAAATACAGAGGATGAAAACATATTTAATACAGAGGTATATACAACTATATTAATGGTAAAATGAGAAATAACTATACTAATACCACAAATTTTAGAATAATAAAATAAAAACTAACATCAAATTGTCCCCAGAAAAACAAAGTATCAACAACCTGAATACTCTAGTTTTACGGTCAGACGGATGCACCACGTGGATGCACCATATTCCATCTTCTAAAGCACATCAAGTCAAGTCAATGAAAGAGAATATGAACTAAACAGTAAATGCAAATCTTAGAGTGTACCCCAAAACTGTGTAAAGAGAAAACAGGAAGAAGCAAGAGATTAAAAAAAAAAACCTATAGGACCAACAAAGAAATAATCATCCTATGTATTTTTTGGGGGAAAAAGTCCTTCCCCACGTCTTTCTGAAGGCTTATTTAAAGATATTTTCCCATCACAAATGACCTTTAAAAGGTAAATAAATAATTTTTCCTAATTAATTTAGGAATTCCCACCCCCCACTATGGCTTTAGGGACAGATCCAAGTTTTATGTTCACTGCAATTTTCACAATTTTTCATATTTTGGGGGGGGTGAGTGGGGTGGGTGGAGGTACTCATTAAGAAAAGTTTTACAAAATTACAGATAAAAAGTGAGTTATAGGGCCTTCGTGGGAACCAGAAGGTTAAGCTTTATCAGCGTCATTAACAGACTATATACAGCAACAAGTTTCTGAAAGAACTGTCCCTGCAGGGAAGTTTTATTTGGTCTGGTTTGTAAAGGTGAGATTTTTTTTAAAAAAAACAATAGCAAATCCAGTGAATGGGATAATGCTGTCACCAAAAGATGTGTCTTACCATACAAGTATCCAGATCTTCCAAACGTTCTATCTCTGTGAGCTCCTCCACCATGATAATGGAGCGTTTAACAGGCTTCTCCTCAGGCAGCTCGATCTCCAAGGAATCTTGCTGAGGAAGGGCCTTGCCACGTCTGCTGAAATGGTCGGCCTAGAGAGTCAAGACACATCCAAGGAGAAATGAAAGCCCAGAGGCAAGGGAACAGCAGGTCAGCGGAATTTCAGAAGATACCTTCCACAAGGTGGCACAGTGAAGGATACTGTCTGCACTTGGTTAATGGCGACTCTTAATACATCCACACTGGAGTTAGTTACCTCTTTTATCATCTTTCTTTGGAAGGTGGAGTATTTTAAACAAGAAATTACAAAATTTCCTTTTAAACATCTTTTGAGACGTTAGATGAAAAATAGGTAATTCATAAATCTCTGCCATGTTCGTGTAAATATGCACAAAGTAGGCATGTATTTCTGTTTTCCAAAAGATGCATTATGAACATTTTCAGGAAGCTGATGTGATTTTTTTCAGCTTTCAGTCTTCAATACAATCACCTAAATGTCCGTCAACAGATGAACGGATAAAGAAGATGTGGCACATACATACAATGGAACATTACTCAGCCATAAAAAGAAACGAAATTGAGTTATTTGTAATGATGTGGATGGACCTAGACTCTGTCAGAAAGAGAAAAACAAATATCGCATGCTAACACATATATATGGAATCTAAAAAAAAAAAAAAAAATGGTACTGATGAACCTAGTTGCAGGGCAGGAATAAAGATGTAGACGTAGGGAATACATCTGAGGACACGGCAGGTAAGGGGGAGCTGGGATGAAGTGAGAGAGTGGCATGGACATATATACACTACCGAATGTAAAATAGATAGCTAGTGGGAAGCAGCTGCATAGCACAGGGAGATCAGCTCGGTGCTTTGTGACCTCCTAGAGGGGTGGGGGAGAGGGAGGGAGGGAGGGAGTCTCAAGAGGGAGGAGATATGGGGACGTATGTAAGCATATGGCTGATTCACTTTGGTATAGAACAGAAACTAACACAATATTGTGAAGCAATTTTACTCCAATAAAGATCTATTAAAAAAAAAAAAAAGGAAGGAAAGAAGTCAAAGGGGAAGGACAGATTGAAGTCGCTGGATTAGACCCACAACCATAGCAACTCGGGGCTGGTCTGGATGCTGATTCCAACATCTTAACTGGAAGAAGACATCTCTGAGTCAACTGGGGAAATCTGAATATAAAATGGATTCTAACTGGTAATAAGGAATCTTTGTTGATTTTGTTAGGTGTGACTGTTTTGGCAATCATGTAAAAATCATGCTGCCAGTTAGAGACACCTTCTGAAGTATTTACAGCAAAATGGCATGGTATACGAGAGATGCTTTAAAATAGGCCAGAAAAAAGTGGGGGGGTGCGGAGAGAAGAGAGAGGTAGGTAGAAAAAGCAAGGACAGATCAGCAAAATATTGGGATAATTGTTAAAACTGAATAGTGGGCAAAGGAGGGCTGATTGTCATACTTTCTCTGTTCTTGTCTGTGTTTGAAATTTTCCACAATAAAAATGTTTTCTCCCCCTTGGAAAAAAAAAAAAAGTAAGTGAAGCACGATGTCATTGCCACCAACATTACTGGTGGAAATAAAAGGGAAATTTAAACCAGAAAAATAACTGACACAGGGTAAATGAGGAGACCACTTAGTACAAAAGAAAATAAGAAGCGTTCTTTTTTGTTAATTTTATTTCGTATTTCCTCTGAAAGAATTTCTTTCTATATCTAGTGCTCAAAAGTATCTAATGAGGGGAAATAAAATGATTCCAACCTTCATTATTTTTAAAGGACTGAAAGGAAATAAATTGCTAATAAAATTTTAATTATTGCTAGCTTTCATTGTTTTCATGTAATAATTATCATATTTTACATGACTTATTAATTCCCAGTGTTGTACTTTAGATAAACCTAAAAAAGTAAATGGTAAGAGATGAAATAAACTGGGCTGAAATTAATAAGCTCTAGTGCTGAGCTGATTCATCACCAGGAACTTTGAAACGTTGAGAACCAGTTGACAATTCTATGGAACCTTCGGGAATACTTCTAAACTTAAGTCGGAGAAAATATTAATGCTACTGGAATGTCTTTGAAAGCAGTATTTCATTTTGAAGGTATAATTTCTTTCACACAGCAGTTAAGCTCTCAACTTACAATCCAAATCAGCAGTAAGAAATTCAAAATGAAAGTGCATTCACGCAATTCTTTTTCGATTGTAAAAAGAAAATGTCAGTACTTAGAGTTACCATATTCTTCAAAGGACAAATGCAAAAAAAATGAAAACATTCAAAGTGTCAGTGTAGTTCTCACATGCAGCCATATTGATACAACATCTAGTATTTGTGTCATCAAGTAGGCATCTTGAGACAGTCCCTGGAGCTGTAGGTTATCGATAAACTATTTCTATAAAGGATGCCTTATTGATTTTGTTTCTGCTTACTAAAAAAAATTTGAATTGTGATCTCTTGACAAGGTTGTAGCTCTTTATTGTGCAACGAACTGCAAACCAGTGCTTCTTAAAATCTCTGTGGTGATGAACCAGTTTTTTGTATTTCCAATTTGCCACAAACCAGTATATTGATAAAATACAATACAAATTTTAAAAAATTTAAATAACATGTGTTTGCATATTATTGCCATGTCAAATTGCTCTAGAAGTCTCTCCACGCTTCCTCTTAGTTTCTGAACTTGCCTTGTCACGGACTAGTAACCATTCATTAGTGGGCCAGCTCCAGTCCACAGGCAATACTTTGAGTAGCTAGAGATGTCCAGGTTATCTTTTAGATTTTAGAGAAGAGACATATATTTTTCTCAAATGAATTTTTCAAAATACTCATTTTGTCTGCCTCCTCAGAAGAAGCTGTTGCTGCTCCTGTGATTTTGGTGGTCTCTACCGTCACTCAACAATTCAACGCCATAAAACTGTAGGGTATCTACAGCCCACATAGTTAACCTGCAATTCTTCTCTGGAGAAAACACTGTCATAACATGTTTGGGAGATTTCTACTGCAACATATCACAAATATTTTCGAGACACAAGATACAGCCACTTATAAAACCTTCATCTGCACCTCAGAGGACTTCGTGAAGTTTCTGATGTATTTTTCATATGCACTGATATTGGAAATATTTCTACCTAGTTTCTACCTTGATGTAGGACCAGTCTCTAGATGAAGAAAATTTTAGTTTTTCACCTTGGTGATATCCAAAAGGCCTGGCTGGACACTCGGCAGCTATCAATTGCTGGAATATGTCCATTTTACTCTCGCACTCTCTTTGGACTCCAAACATTTCATTTCCGTCATGTTTTTAAGAATACTTTGTTATCAGATAATCATATCAGAGAACAACAAAAGAAGCACAGATAAATTAAATACAGGTGAGCCTTGGACTACGTGGGTTTGAGCTGTGCAGGCCCACTTACACGAGAATTGTTTTTAGTAGTAAATACTACAGTGCTACACGATCCGGGTTGGTTGAATCCTCAGATGTGGAAAGCTATAAGTTATATGTGGATTTTCAACTGCAGGGAGGGTCCTGCCCCAAGCCCCCGGTGTTGTTCAAGGGTCCACTAGAATCTAAAAAAAAATTCTCAATTTTAGACCTTAGTCCCAACATCATCTCCTATCAAAATTTCTGAGCTGTACGCATTTTAAATGAACAACAACAATTCTGAATACCATCGCTTCTGCTCTGCCCTGCCATTCTCTCTGGAGAAATTCTAACATGCTCTAGAACAGCTGGAAGCAATGAAGAAGAAGGAGGAAAACTAGGATTTTAACCCATAAAGCTGGAGAGGAATAAAATGTAGAAAAGCAACCACATCCCCACGCTGGAGACTGCCCTGCATTACTGCAGACGTCCACCGCACTTACCAGTTTGTGATGGCAGTGTGAAAGTGCATCCAGAATTTCATCCACGATTCGGTCAGATAGGAAGGAGGCCACTGTCAACTTCACTTCACTGTGTGAAAATCAAAAGCACAGAGTGGCATTTTAATTTGTGCAAGAGGGAAAAAAAATCACCCACCCTTGATACTATGTTGATAAGGTCAACTGTGATTTTGTTTCTGTCTTTGAAAATGGCATACAAGAATGTGCAAACAGGGCTAAGGATTTCCAAAAATAAGCCTTAAACACTGCTGTAAACACACAGGTAATAGACTTTCTTCACCAATTCCAACCTGCCTCTACAATTTCAAAACTCAACATTTAGTGGTAGAAATGAAAAACATCTGGATAAAGACAAACTTAATGGGAACCGTATGTGCCACGTGGGAGGAACAATTCATCCATTGACATAAATGAAAACAAACTTGGGCTGGAGTAAATTAAGAAAATCTAGTCTGGTTGTGACGTCTTGGTTATTTCTTTCATATGCATATCCACCGCCTTTTACAAAACTTTTTACCAGTCAAATGGTACCATATTGAACTGCTTTCTGCTTTGACTTGCCGTCAAGTCAAATTCACTGTTCTCTTGCCTTTTATGAAGAGAAGTTATCAAAATGTTTGGTTTTAGTGCCTCTTACCTAACCTTACAAAGATGCCCAGACAACAAGAAGTAGCCTGTAGTTTTTACTAATAAATGACTCAGCCACTAAGGTTTCCATCAGAGGGCTGGTATTTTGGTTAGCATTTTAGCTATTTGGCATTCCCAAGAATTCAACTTCCATGTGTGTCTTCAGTCTAAATAACCCTACCTAAATGCACACATGCACAAATGTGCATAAATGCACAATACACGGAAAGGTAAATGTGCTGGAGAGATACATACCCACATTCCAACATCATCACATAATTTCAGCCTACTTCTGAAGTCAATAATTTAAAAAATTTTCAAGAAGGGAAAGGAGTTATCAAAATAAGATTATTTACTCCTAAAGCTACAGTTGAAAGTATATTTGTGTAATAGGGAAAAATCTTTCTCACTGAAATTTGCATTGCAATGTTTCTGCTCAGAAGATTTCTGATGGCAGGGCAGAGGGGAAGCACCAACTCTTTGATGACAACAGTAAAAATTTTCCTGGGCTACATATAAAGGAATGTTTCTTTAATTCCTGTCTCTGAAACAAGGTCTCACTAGCTATTTGGTTTATCTAATACTATATTATTCCCCAGAGGTGTCCACTGATAAGATTCACCCAGGCTGCTTATGAAAAATCCAGATAACTAGGTCCTACCCCAAACATCCAGAGAGGCCTGGGAATCTAATGTTAACAAGTACTTTCTCTGATGCTTTTAGACATGTTTGGGAATTCTGCTTCCTTCTAAGACTACAGAGTCAGTAGTTTGTTTCTCTTCCCCACCCCCCGCCTCTCTGAGGTCAGGAGGGAAAGTTTATTGCAAGTTATAACACCAAAAAGAAGGTTCTTGGGCTTCCCTGGTGGCGCAGTGGTTGAGAGTCCACCTGCCGATACAGGGGACACGGGTTCGTGCCCCGGTCCGGGAAGATCCCACATGCCGCGGAGCGGCTAGGCCCGTGAGCCATGGCCACTGAGCCTGCGCGTCCGGAGCCTGTGCTCTGCAACGGGAGAGGCCGCAACAGTGAGAGGCCTGCGTACCGCAAAAAAAAAAATGAACCCAAAGGGAAACATGGTGAAGTCCTAGTGGGCCTCTTTGCCTATTTATAGGCTGTGCATTGGCTCAGAATATTCTGGTGGTAGAAAGCAAACCGACCTCAGTCTTCAAAAGTTAGTGATTTATAAAGGTGAAAGATAAGCTTCAGAAGCAGAACAAAAGAGGGGATTACGAACATGTACCCCCCTCTTAAAAAAAATAAAACTCTTAAAAAGAGCAGGTAACTGTTCCTCAGTAATGCAGGCATATCTGTGGTCATCTGATTTTGGAAAAGTATTAAACCTATGCATTTATGCACAGCTATATCTTTATACAGTCGCTGCCTCATAGACGTGTCTAAACACATTCTGTACGAATAAAGCCAACGATAACGCTCTTCACAGCTGCCTCAACTGCATTCATAGACACTGCAGCTCCTCGGTTTATTAACATTATACACCTACCTAATTTTGTTAAGGATATCAATTCCAGACTGCTCCAACAGGACATTTTTAACAAAGGTACGTGGGATGGAAATCTTTTCAGTGCTGGCATGAATCAAGTCTTGCCGAATGTGGGCTTTTTTCATCACATTGGGACAAAGATTCTCGGCAGCATCAACCATGGACTCAAGCAACGCCTGCAAAGCAGCACAAGTGGAGACAGAGAGATGACACAGCCCCGGAGGCGCCCCCCATAAAACTGAAAGGTGGTTATTTATGACACCAAGCTCTCGGAGAACAGGGACACAACAGAGTCCCAGGTGCGACTAAGGATTCGGAGCTGCCCTGGGATGACTTGTGACTGCTGGGTGATCACTGATCTCAGGTGATCACTTTAAATCAGACACCTGGCAGATCCACGCAGGCTTCACCCTGGCATCTGAAGCATGATAGTGTGCTAGCTGTACTTAACACAGAGGTATTCATGATAAGATTTACAAAGACACATATACACCAATTTACCACATCAGACTGTTCTCCTGGGTATTAGCAAATAAATTTACACATGTCCCTAGAACATACATCAAGTTAGAACTCTTGTGCAATTTCACAAATCACAGAAACCTCAAATCAGGGTGAAGCATTCAACAGCTCCATCAAAAGAGCAGTCATAGCAAACCACTATATAACAACTGCTAGTTTTCCCCTTTTAAAAGAAAAGCTTTAGTGTTAAGTAAAATTATAATTGTTATCGGAACAATAAAAAACATGAATAACAGACAAAAATATTAACAGAGCACTTTATAAACAACATTAATAATAACAGTCAAAACCTACTTATATAGCACTTCAGAATTTTAAAAATGTTTCCGTTCATTTTATCCTTCCAAGATCTGTGAAGATGGGTACAGAAACTATTCGTGTGATCACTGTCTTATAGTTGAAGAATGTGAGCTAAGGGAAGTTAAATGATTTGCCTGAGATGGGTGGTACGGCTGGTAAGTGTGGAAAGGGCACCCAAGTTAGCATCAGACGTAAATTTGAATCCCAGCTGAATGACACTGGGCTAAGTTACTGATCTCTCAATTTTACTTTCCTCATCTATAAAATGGCAAATAAAAGTTCTTGCCTAACAGGATTAATGAAGATTAAATGATATTACATGTGTAAAGTGTTCAGTATCGTGTCTAGCATACAATAAAAGTTCAGTATATCACAGATAATGTTATTAACTTGTTTTCAAAGATGCTAATTCTCATGATAAGATCCCAGCATATACCCTGAGAAAACCATAATTCAAAAAGAGTCATGTACCAAAATGTTCATTGCAGCTCTATTTACAATAGCCAGGACATGGAAGCAACCTAAGTGTCCATCAACAGATGAATGGATAAAGAAGATGTGGCACATATATACAATGGAATATTACTCAGCCATAAAAAGAAATGAAATTGAGTTATTTGTAGTGAGGTGGGTGGACCTAGAGTCTGTCATACAGAGTGAAGTAAGTCCGAAAGAGAAAAACAAATACCGTATGCTAACACATATATATGGAATCTAAGAAAAAAACACAAAAGTCATGAAGAACCTAGGGGCAAGACGGGAGTAAAGACACAGACCTACTAGAGAATGGACTTGAGGATGTGGGGAGGGGGAAAGGTAAGCTGGGACAAAGTGAGAGAGTGGCATGGACATACATACACTACCAAACGTAAAATAGCTAGCTAGTGGGAAGCAGCCACATAGCACAGGGAGATCAGCTCGGTGCTTTGTGGCCGCCTGGAGGGGTGGGATAGGTAGGGTGGGAGGGAGGGAGACACATGAGGGAAGAGATATGGGAACATATGTATAACTGATTCACTTTGTTATAAAGCAGAAACTAACACACCATTGTAAAGCAATTATACTCCAATAAAGATGTTAAAAAAAAAAAAAGAAAGCCAAGCTTGATCCCATTACTATTCCAGTATGAAGGGGACTAGTGGAGCATTATTATGTAAAGACTAGTCTCTCGGCTCATATATTCACATGCAAAGCACGATGCCAATAGTACAATCTCTCATCACACTGTAGGATGAGCAGCAGAGCAGCAGGATGTTTATATAAAGATCCTGTGAAAAGCAGGAGAGGAGCGGGAGAGGCAGCCACTTGAGAAGTTTCCGAAAGCCACTCGTATTCTGACAGTGCTCTGTCCCTGTGAGAATTCTGAATAATCACTCATTTAGTACATTATTCCAAGAGAGCTACAAGCAATGCCAAATGAGTCAGTTTAAGACAAATCATTTTCCTCTTTGGCATTAAAATAAACACATTCTGTTCCAGATGGAGTAGCAGAGTCCAGCACTCCTGATAAGAACCTCAGGTATCAATACGCTGTTTGAATTCTGTCATGTTCATCAATACAGCGTGACTTTCTGAAAGGTCCCCTGCATGACAGTGTTAATTCAGTTGGAATGAACTCCAGACCTAAGGAGGGAAGCCTGGCTTCCGATGTAGATCCCGACGTGAAATTTCTGTGGAATGTTAAGTGAGCAGCGTTAAGTGAAGAACCTTTGCAGATCTCTGCTTTCTGACCTATAAAATTATTTCTAAGGTCTGTTTCTGCTCTACAAATTGACTACTGCATGATTTTTGACCCTATAAAAAGGAATTTCATCCTGCCCTGGGCATCCAATTCGACAGATATTTTGCAGTTAATTCCCTACCACCATCTCTAGCCCGACACTTTATACTCTACAAAGTGATTTCATCCATGATTTCCTTTGATCCACATAACAACCCTGTGAGTAGAGGTAGATTTTAGCAAACCCATTTTATAGATGAGAAAACGGAGACTCGGAGGAGATAAGTGACTTCCTCAAGGTCACGCAGCTGGTTACTGGAATAAGTGAGAAGGGGACTCAGGTGTTTCGTCTTCTACTCTTGTTTCCTACTCCAGCCACCCTTTTCCAATGCTCTGCCCATTGCCCAAAGGTGTGTCCCTTTCGGCTCTCTTCATTACCTACAATTTTCATCCCCTAATGCTGGTACCTAAAGCCACCATGGTGGATGTTCTGGTGACAGGGCTGGTAAAAAGGGGAGAAAGGATCACAGGATAAATTTGTAATGCAGCCCCTGACCACTTCTTTGTGTCTAGCCCCCAGCTCAGGTCCTTAAACAGCATCTCTTTCCAAGTCCCATGGCCCTCTACACACCAAACCATATTCTTCAACATCCATCCTTCCCATGGCTTCAAATTACTACCTATATTCCAATGGTTCTCAACTAAACGTTTACCTATAGCCACCTACCCAAAACATCCAATGCATATATAATACAGCCTATTAGGAATTTCCACCAGGATATTCTACCATGGCAAGGTCAACTAGAACATGTTTGGCCTCCCATTAATCCCACCTGAACAGTAACTGCAACAGCAAAATCAACCATTCTTGCAAAGTTTTTATTGTGAGGTATGGTACCAAACTAGGGCAGAAATTTGCAACTCTCCTTACACTCCACCTACCTCAACTCCTTCCACCACATCTCTAAAACATGTTAAATTTACTCCTAGACATTTTCTCAAAAGTGGAAATATGCCAAAAATATTACTCATTAGCAGAGAATAGAAATCCCTGAAATATCTGGTAAATGCTCAATTTTCTAGCCTCATTTTTTGTCATATCTCTATATTCCCCTTGTAACTATTCATATCCAGTTATAGGGCAATTCCCCACATGATCCAGGCTCTGTCTCCATGCTTTCTACAACTGTTCTCTTAGCCTAGAATCCTGTTCCCCTCTGTAGCCAGAATAAATCACCTGTATGCCTCCCTACTCAGCTCAGCTCAAGCATCACCTTCTGGAGGAGATGTTCTTGCTTGTTCCTTCCACGCCCTTCACACTCCAAACTGCATTTGATGATCTCACAGCATCCAGTGGCGACCTCAGTAATCAAATGTGTTATAAAACGGTCAAGAATGCAGTAATGTGGGGATCAAAGAACGCCTTTGAGAATCGATGCACACTCATCCAGAAAAATTGGTATGAGATTTTACATACAACTTTGGAAGTTCATGGAGAGCTAGAGGCACCAGACTCCAGATACACAACTTATACCTGATAGCAACTGTGAAGCCCTACCCTCTCCCCCCAGGGCCTAGCACACTTCTTGGAACAATCTCTAAGAAACATATAAAAAGTATTACAAGCTCACGAACTTACTGAATGTGGGTTCTGAATAGTTCATCACTTTTCTATTGATCAATGATAACTCACTGAAGGTAGCATTATGAAAACTTGCATAGATGTATGGGTCCATTTCTGGGATCTCTCTGTCGCATTGGTCTGTCTACCTCTGCATACTGTCCTAATTATGATAAGTCCTAATATGTGGTAGGGCAAGACTACCAAACCTTCTTGTTCTTCCTCATAAATGCCTGGGCTTATGAAGAAGCCATATATTTCACTCTAAGTACTGGTTTAGCGGCATCTCACAGGTTCTGATTACTAACTACTTTATTGTTTAATTATAAATATCCTCTAATTCAAATTTTGCCCTCCCCTTTGACCCTTGGGTTACAAGTAATTTTTAAATTTATAAACATGTGGGGTTTTTAAAATTTTGTTATTAATTTCTAATTTATTTTAAATGAAACCAGAGAATACCACCTTTGAAAATTGTTGAGATGTTCTTATAGACCTCATGTCAAATATTTCACATATCCTTGCAAAGAACTGATAGTCTCCTATTATTGGTGCACTGATCACATAGGTCCGCTAGGTCACAACTGAGAATTCTATTGTTCAAATATTCTTTATCATTATAAAGAATTTTTTCAAATATTATCATTACTTTATTTACTTGATCTATCAGTTACTGGCAGTCATTTTGAAAGATCTCTACCATAATAGTAAATGTTATCAATTTTTCTTTGTAATTTTGTCCACTTACTCATATATATAAAGCCATATAATTAAATACATACACAGTTGAAATTATCTCTGGCAAATTGGATCATTTGTCATTATTCACTGATCTATTTTATCTCTAGTAATGCCTTTTTTTTTTTTTTTTTTTGGCCATGCTGTGCAGCATGCAGGATCTTAGTTCCCTGACCAGGGATCGAACCCATGCCCCCTGTAGTGGAAGCGTGGAGTCTTAACCACTGGAACGCCAGGGAAGTCCTAGTGATTCCTTTTCTACTGCATCACTAGAT